GTATATCACCTCAATTGCAAACTTTGCGATCCCTTACTATACTTGATGCGCTGTTTACGAAAATCGAATTGATAATTTGCTATTTCTTTTGCTTTTCTTGTTGTATGCGCGCAAAAGTGGCATTTTGCCCTGTCTGGCGAGCACCAAACCGCGCCAAAAAGGGGACTGGATCATAGTCTTTTTGTGACGTAGAAACCAGAACCAAAGTAAAACGTACTGAGAATATTCAATGGTATATTTAGAGATGTGGATGGACATAATAAGCATACAAGGATCGTCAATGAAGTTTATGCGATTTATTCATTCATCAATTTGCTTTCTTTGCAATCAGCCTTCAATATTTTCCTCCCTCCACATTCCTATTGGCTTATTTTTACGTCATACTACTACACATACGTCAGACCTAACCTACCCTGATCTGAGTCATATGAAGTCGAATCTGTCCTCACACAACCAGAAATCATCCGGAATGAATTTACTTTAATTCCTAAAAACGGATTTAGTCGATAACATAGTACTAGACGGGCCTAAATAAGCATATTTCTTATTTCTGCATCCACGCCGCATCAGCCATTGGTTCATCAGCGTAAGCTTTTAAGCACCCAGTTTCGACGTTTTCAGTCCCCGCATGCTCAAAATCTAAACTTTTATCCACTAATTCGTGATCCGTAAAGGAACTAGGATTTGACGAGATGCTGGATTCTTCGGAATCAGAGTCGGCCATAATTTATTGCGCAAGGTTTCGAAAGACGTTCTGGTTTCTACGTCATGAAAGGCTAGAGCCTAGATCTCTATAACATGCGCGGATTGGAGGCAAAAATTAGAGACTTTGGGGGCATTTTTCGAGGGCTTGCGTTGCTCAAAACGCTTTTTAAATTTGATATTTGAACTCAGCGCAGCTGTTTCAGTTGGTTTAATCTCTATCCCAAATTAGGTGATATGCACTTTAAGTAAGATTGACATGGCCCCATTCGAGCACAGGCCCCAAAATTTGCCCCTCCTAAGCCCTCTTTTAAATCGCATCCTGTGGCCCTGCCGCTACCCTCTATCAAGTCCTACACTGTGCATTTCCTGTTTCATTTGTCAAAAATTCCTTAAAAAAATCCTATCCAGGAATTGGGCCTGCGAGTGCCCCAGCTGGAGACGTCACTGCCTGGAGAATAACAACACAACAAGAGAGGTGTGTAGCGTGCACTAGGATACCGTGACCACATAAAAGTTTGGGCAAATTAGCGGATGGGAAAAACAATTGTTTGGAGGACAATAGATAGTCAAGTGACATTGTCACTGGATGTGAAAGATTTGAAAACAACGGGAAATTGCTTCAATGCACAAAGGGAGTCATACTCGAATTTGCTCAGCGTGTACAAACACCCGTTCACACTTTTGGCGCGCAAAACATCAGTTGGTTGTAACAACACCAACAGCATTAGACTTATCAGGCCCTTTCCCGTCCCAAAATTAATTTTGTTTGATTGACCAAATTATTTTTCGAATGATATGCCGATTCTGATATGTTTTAAAGGGTGTTCAGCCTCTTAATAGCTTGTTCCTAGGGTGTTCTTGGGGTGTTCAGTCATTTAGAATCGACGATGATTTTTGCCATCTGAGGTTGCCTATTGCGTTTTATTGAATTACCACAACAAATTCATACTTTTGCTAGTGATTAATTAAATGCTCATAAAGAAATTTCTACTGTAATAAACGAAGTCTTTTATTAACACACTAGGCATTTAATTGCCAGGTAACTAAATGCCTGTTGTTTAACCTAGATATAATCAGGTTACCTAATAAATAAAATAAAACAAAACACTAAAAGAAAAAATGTTATTAAAATACTAGTCATTCAAGACATGTCAATAGTCAATTTACCCATTCATGACTAGCGATTTTTGTCGCCAGGGACGCCGACTTTCGTCGAATACTCGTAGGATTGCCATTTACTGTATTGATATACTCTAATGCCAGTTTCGATGTCCATGGCCAAGCGTATTTTCTCATGCACGTTTGCAACATCTTTTCAAAAAGGTATAGGTACGCTGATTGATGAAGTTCCTATATTTAATTTTGGTTTTGTTTTTGCGAATGCTGTCGTTTTTATGTCTGATTTAACGTGCAGAAAACACGGAGCCAGCAAGAGACGATATTGCGTGACCGTTGCGTCTTGATGAATTTACTGACTGACTAATTACAATTTAGGGCGTATACACATATAACAAGGGGACGATACAAATGTGTTGTTTATTACGTTACGTGGATACGAAGACAATGGAAAGTGTTAATGACAGAGACACAATGGAGGACATGATTACGTTTAGACAATGGTCACTACAAAGGCTTTTTTATGTCTGCTTATTTTTGTAGGTTTTTATACATCAATGAGCTTTTGATCCATACCAAATCGTTAGGTGATAAATTTCATTTTTGACTGCATCTGTTTCGCGCGCTGTTATTACAAATTAACTTCGCGCTCGTCTTTCATGAATGGTGATCTTTTTACAGATAGCTCTACCTACTAATCTAAATCTTGGTTCCCACTAGGCAAGTAACTGCGTTCAAGTGCGTCCATCTCTTATCCTTTAATTGAATTAAAGATAACAGATAAACTACCGAGGCATTTCCACTTGCAAAACATAAACACCCAGCTAGCTGTGTGAAGACAAGTCAAAATGAACCGCGAAACTTTGAGAAAGAGATTGGCAATTTTGTTGAACCTGTCACGTTTAAGAAGGCTTCAAGTTTTGTAGACAAAATCATAAAGAAAGTTCTGGGTACGTGAAATTTATAGAAAACGACAAGAGCTTGGCTTTTTCAATACTCTTTTCGACGAACTTTAAAGTGACCGAGCGTTTTTTTTTCGGTACTTGCGAATGAGTCCAGAGAGAGTCCAGCATTTTCGTGACACAAATTTCGCAATTCTTTTACGTGTACATTGTAGGTGTTCTATGGTTTCAGTTTTTGGCCTCTCGTTAGTCATTTTAAGTAATCCTGATTGTATAGCTCTTTTCAAAATTTAGAAGGTTAGCGGAAATCTGTTAATTGGCAATGTTTTATTGATCGCAAGGTGCTAGCAGTCACGAAATCGATTTCATGCGTTGCTACGGTTGAAATTGCCTTATTTTGGATTTACATTTGCATCTTACTTGTTGGTTGATGAATGAAACATTCCTTAAATTTTGCGGATTCTTTGATGTTTAAACGCTTAGATCAAAAATTTTTTGATCTTGGCGTTTAACTTTTTTGAGCGTTCATCTCCTCGAAGTTAAACGCCCGGAGCATTCCCACTTGGCGTTTAACTTGTAAGCTCAGAGATGAACGTACTTGAACGCACTTAGTCGCCTAGTGGGAACCAAGCTTAAAAGATTTCTAGATAGAAGGTCGAATACCTCTTTCCGGTCTCATAAGCCAATGCAAACTCCACAGTAAAAAACTTATTTTTTTTCTTTTTGTAAACAGTAGAATTATAACACTTTATAAAAAATTTTCAATATTTGAATTTGTGGTGTTGTAAATTTTCCTTAGAATAGCCTCTGAAATGCTTTAAACAAGTCAATCAATGCATCACCTTTAATATAATTGCAATCAAAATGAAGGCGTTACAAATGTTACTTTTGATACTGTGCATCCTTCTACTCCATTAGGTCATTTCCCTGGCTTTCGATATCCTTCTGTAATCACAGATGAAATCTACCAACTGGTCTTCTTTTATCTGCTTGAATAATATGCCAGTGTGTTCTTGAATCGACCGTAGCTTTGAACTGAACCTTAGCATTTTCGTAGAATGCCAAAGGAACTACAGTAAAAATCCGCGTAAAAGAACCTGAATTTAAAAAAACCTGTTAAGACTAAAATTTAAAATTTAGGGCTCCTACATAAAGAACCTTTTCAAGCCAAAAGTTAGGTTCTTACCAGTGAAGAGTGGAGCGGCTGTAAAGGTTTTTAGGTGGAAACTGTTGAATAAAGTATAATTATCTGCTTATATCTAAAATTAACTTGGCAAAACAATTTTTCTTTGAAGCCAAAGTACAATACTGTGTATATTGTTTCCATCACTTTAATAAATTCTCTTAATATTCAGCATTTGTAGAGTATAAAATTTCGATTTTCATTTATCCAATTTTTCCATATAAGTGTTTTAATTGACATTTCAGAGATTCTGCTATGAGTTTGCTTGAGTATATATTTGTTTTGTTACGTCTGTACTTTCTGCATAAAACGCATGTTTAAGTATCATATTACTGCATGAAATGAAAATTATGATTTTGTGACATAAAAATAAGAACCTATTTTAAAAACATTGGTAGCCTAAATTCATTTTAAGTACCATTCATATAAGAATCTGTTTAGGCTTACTGAAAAAACCAGGTTTTTATATGTGCGTTAATACTGCAACATATCAACTAGATAGAACAGTTATCAAAACAGTACGATGCATTCACTAGATGTTTTTGATCAAATCTCTGCAAGCTTCCTAGAAATGATCAATAAACTTGATTTGAAAGGAACGGTAAAAACAAGATCAATAAGAAAAATACGACTCTGTGAATCCAGACATTATATTATATCTTTTGTTTCTGCAATAAAAAGTGGAACAACCAGGAAATTTTAAATTTGTAGATCATTTTGTAACTTGACGTCAAGCAATCACCGCCACTGAATGCCTGCTCGTTCCCCATTTATTTTAAAAAATTGACTGTAAAGAAATTCTGAATCTCAGCAAAATGTAGTATAGGTTGCAAAAGCAAGAAAAATCAAGAAGCCACGTGCAATAATGCTGCTTTTGCAAAACTATTAGCAATGACAAAACAGCCTATTGAAGGACTAAGGTAAAACGACGAAATACCAACTTTATACAACAAGGAGTAACAACTGTGTAGGAATAAAACCTTCCACTTCAATGCAGAGTCAGGAAAACATCACGGCCCTACGGCCGCTGGCTGGAGGAAGATTGTAGAAACAAAAGGGGTCCAAAACGAAATTGAGGAAGGTGACCAAAAATTTGGAGACTTGGTCTTCTGGCTTTCAAAATGTAGTCAGACAAAAATAAAGAAATGAATCAATATCTATAAAAATCTTGTTTTTTATATCAAATGTGTTACAGAACTGCTTTGCACTGTAAAATTTAAGCGTAAACTTTTGTAATTTATATATTTAAATCATAATACACTTTGTTTTCAATTAATAAAGGGATGTTTATTTTAATCTCTACCAAAAATATCTATAATAAAAAACAAACTATTATTTTTGGAAACATAGAGTTGCAAGAAAATGGGTTAAAACTAGTTAAGTAGCCCTGACTTCCAGACCACGCCCATTTAAAACACGTTAAAAATGAGGAAGGTTTTATAGTAAGATACACTTGGCCCGGAGGAAGATTGACAACTTTTCTGGACTCTGTTGATGCCTGGTTTTTCCAATGTGTACGTGGAATGTATTTTTATTTTGAAACTCTCAAGTATAGAATTTTTCGGCCTATCATCCTATTTGCTTGTGTAAAAATTGATCCAGAGTACAAAGACAAATGAGAAAAAAAGCTCCTTTTGGCATTTGGCACATGTAAGGAGACATGAGACCTATCTCCTTTTCCAAGGACTTTTACATCGCATTACATTTTGTTCTTGTTTGGTTAAAACACTTAATTCCTTTACACTTGACCGCCCTCTCTACCAAGGTATTCTTTATCGTCTTTTTTCTGCTTTGTAGTATTCCATGAAGGGTTATCGATCAATTTCTTTGGCTCGTATCTCCAAACGTCGGCAAATAGGGTCCAATTGAATCGCTGAGGCACTTCGCATTTTGAGGTATACAAATCTAGATTAGCATAAAATCTTGAATACTTACTATATAATCTCCATAAAAGTCTCATGTCCTTTGGATAACTTCCATGTACCCCGATGAAATTGTCGCAAACTTTTTTAAAATGTTGGGTAATATTTTTCATAAATTTTAGTGGTGGGTCATGATGTAATCTACGGTCGTGGTTATATAGAGCGGGTATATTAAGATCTTTCACCCATGTTGCTATCATCTGGTCTGCCCAAGGATGGCCTTTCATTTCATACGGATCTTGGTTCAAAAACACTTCTATTAGGTCACGTGATAACAAAATTACACTTTCCTCAGGTCGAACAATGTTTGGAAGGCAGTGTACGTATCCCCAGTGGTACATGGGGCGCATTGGCATCGGAAGCTCGTGCAGAAATCGCTTGAGGCAAAAAAAATAATCATCGTCCATCCTTAAGAAGTAGTCAAACTCGTAGTTCTGCATGGCCCAAACCATGTGATACAAAAACCGTTTGCCGAACTCGACTCCACCACTGAGATTTTGAAATACAAGATCATTGTGAGTTCTTTGTTCTTTGATCAACTTCTTCCCGTCTGGTGATGATCCGTCAGGTTGGTCCGTGATGAAGATGCATTTAACAATAACCTAGGATGCAAAAGTATTAAACCTTAATTTTTAATTTTGTTCAGTCTTTAAGGAAGAGACTCGGCTCGGAGAGAATTAGAAATGGCAAAATATGGTAAACACATCACTAATATATAATAATAATAATAATATAAATAATATAATATAATATAATATAATATATCATAAATAATATACATATAAATAATTATTATAATATAAATAATATAATATAATATAATATAATATAAATATAATAGTAATATAATATAATAAATTAATATGCATGGTGTCACTAATATATAATAATAATATAATATAATATATGCACTAAAGAAATGAGAATGGGTGGTGCGACGGAGGGGGGTATGGAGGAATGACACCATGCATGTGTCTTGGCTTAGCCCCCCCCCCCCTCCTTGAATTTTCTTTAGCTCCCAATGGAAATAAGGATGCAAAGTCTGCTTTGGTATTCAAAAGAATAAATCAATTACTATGAATGGTCTTAGCAAACGAAAGGTTTTGCAAATCAGTTGCTGTACCTGGTCACTGCTCACACAATCTTTCCACCACGTTTCTCTAATTGCTGACCGTCTCTCTCTTCTTTTTGGGGCTGATGAAACAATAATCAAAAGGTTTGTTTTCTTTCTGATTGCTGGCCTCATTATTTTGAATTTAGAGTATATAGGATTTCTATTTAAATTTTCCACTCCACCCTTTGCTTTTATCCAAGAATCTTGGGAATCCTGCACTTTCTTTAGGTGAAAACCCATATCAAACGCGTAGAAGACGAAAATCTGCATCACAACGATGAATATAAGAACCACTTTGATTTGCCATGCTGGAAAATCCATTGTTGAAAACCTGTTAAAAACATGGAGTGTTTAAGAAGCCACGAAACTGCTGATGCAGCTAAATTTTGGGTAGTTAATGATGAATACGCTTGCTTTAGGAGGCGGTTTGCTTTGTTTAATTGAGGCCGATAACGAGGTAAGAATCTTATAAAGTGCGTACGCTCATGGAGCTCATGTTATACCTTAGTAACTCACAGCTTTAGGTATTGTTACAGAAAAGACACTCTAGTATAGTATACAGCAACTAAGTCGTCTAATCAACATATCTTTCATTTCTATTCATAGGCATAATATGGCGGAATCGACGATTAACTATATCTTATCACGCTATCTAAAAACCCGGGGGTATCATTACCTACTGTCTCTAAAGGGTCTGGACCCTACAGTCTCCCCGACTAAGATAAGTATAAATGTTAAGGTACGTGATACTTTATAAACGAACAATGTTACTATAAGCAAATATCAGGATACGTCCCATGTGAATGCAAATATTCTAGTAAACCAGCTAGATGAGCACAAACCAAATGGTAAAATTATAACAACACGATCGATCAATGGACGGCGATGTTCGTTTCATGTTGGAGACATCTCAAGCTATCAACCAACAGCAACATTTGCTTCACAAAACAACAATGTAACAATAGTACGCAGTGAATGACGAGGCATTCGCATGTAGATACGATGGTAAGTACGTAGTTATATCTGCAAGAAGTAATGTTTGTAGCTTTGAAGAAAACTGTATAAAAACGCGCAAAATATGAAAAATAGTTGTAAAGTGAGGTGTTCCATTACAACACGACGGGCATTGTTGCAACGAAATTGTTCGTTATCGGCCAGCGATACGACAATGGTGAAACAATAAGTATAAACAAAGAAGTATACTTCGGGTTGTTCAATGATGATCTGATGTGAAAAAAAAGTAATGGCTTGAAAAAAGCAAACATTTCACAACATACTCCTAAAAACTTGTCCGTCTGGCACTCCTCAGCAGAGTATAAAACGTCAGAATAAGCGTCTGAAAAAAACATAAAGGAAAATATAAACCCAGTTGTGAATCGAAATAGGCCAATCAGAAAAACGCAAGCACATGATCGGCATGGTTGTCCAATCAGTGCTGCGTGCCTATAGAAATATTTCCAATGGAGTCCAAGAAAGAAAACGAATTCCTGCCGTCTACGCAATGGCGGCTTTTGCGTTTGTATGTAGATCGATTCAAAAAGCTTGATTAAATAAAATTTAATCACGTTTAATATGTGACAGTGACAGGGTACGCCTTTTAGGTGCCCCTTGGGCTTTTGTTTTTGGGCACAGATTGCACAATTGTGGAGTTTGTGTTTATTGTAGCAGTGCTCGAGTAAGCTTTACATTGTGTTTGTTATACGGCTAAAGCAACCAGCGCGCAAATGTGCATTGGCTTTGGGTATATAAACTTTGTCTTAGCACAGTTTCATTCTCACACGTTGCACGACAACTTTAAGTTGGACTTTGGAGAGGAAAGGTTTTTCCTTTGCGACCCTGCCCACCCAACCCTTGTCTAGAAATGTTCAGGGGTTTTTATTTACATGCATGTTGACTTTCTACTAATTTTCGTGCATTAGTTAATGGCCGTATGGCTTGCGACTTTTTGCATGAACAAGGTGCTGCTAGTCGGCGGAAGAAGGCCATTGTTCTTCTTCTCAACCCCCTCAAAAACGGTTGGGGTTTTATTTATGGCCGTCTCTGCGATTGGCGCACCGACAGCCCAAAACTAAATGGTTCAAATGATGAGAGAACACCACCTTCAGTCTTATGATTGACAATGGTAAAACATTCTGAGGACTATCCTACCCTTATTTGCTCATGGTTTTTGTTTAGTAACCTGGAACAAATATTAAACTGCATTTCCGTGTCTGCAGAATCAGATTCAGATTCGCGTTCGCGAGTAGGTTGAAGATAAGAAAAAGGGCCCAGTCGTCTCAAATATAAATGGAAACAGAATCTAACTCCTACTACAGATATCACCATACTAGTAGCTACTATTTACAACAAAAATCAATTGCATATCTTTTCTCGTTTTTCTGGAAAAACGGGGTTTATACCATCTGTTAGCTCTAAAAGATGTTGACCGATGGCAGAGTCGCTAGTTTTTGCTGTTAGACAATAGGAGGAGTTATTCACTGGCATTTATTCCCTAAAGGGAATACATAGCCATGTTCGCTTTAAGCGAAGATAGTTCTCACTATGTACTGTGTGTTTTATTCTTTTTATAAACGAAATGTCTAAATTATCATGAAAGCAGCACCATTTTTGCACTTACTAATGTTTCGGAAAAATAATGGCTGCGCCCATTTCATTCGTCTTGGTCCTGTATATACAAGTTGATATGCAACATCGTTCCCTTTCAGAAAATGGAACGCAGTAAGGCAACAGGCACAATGCAAATAAAAGGAAAATAACTTAGCTGCGCAGATCACGTTCAGGATCTTGAAAACATGGCATAGGTTCTAAAATACACTGGCCACCATTGTAATACCTTAGTAACTCACATTTGCAGGTATTGTTACAGAAAAGACACTCTAGTATAGTATACAGCAACCAGGTTATCTAATCAACATAAGCATATCTTTCATTTCTATTCATATGCATAACGTGGCGGACTCATACTATGTAAAAACCCGGGGGTACCATTACCTTCTGTCTCTAAATTCTTGGTCAAAGAGTCATCAATAAGCTCATAGGCGCCGACTTTTATTTTTCCCAGGGGGGGCTCAAAATTTAAATTAAAAAAATTAAAAAAAGTTAAAAGGTAGAGAAATTCCCTGTCGCTTTAATAACGTTCAGACCAAATTTTTTACAAGGGATTTATTTGATTCAAATTATTCTTTAACAATAGACAAATTTCACATTTTTGAGACTTAGAATATACATATACCTGCTTTCAGCTGTTCTGCGCTGAATTTTCAGCCCAGTGGCGGATTTCAAACGAAATTCCAAGGGGGGCTGAGCCCCCAATAGCAATCCCAGGAGGGCTCGAGCCCCCGAGCCCCCACGTAGTCGGCGCCTATGAAGAAGCTGTACTTTCATCATGGGTGTTCTGAAAAGACATTCTGGGTGTATTATTGGACACTCTGGCCCAGACTCGGATGTATATAGGCGTGAAAATGTTTTGTTCATGTTATGTTCTGTTGAGACAACATGTTAACATTATGTCTCGGACCTTCTTACAGAAAACAATAATCAAGAATATAACACTGGGTAAGACAACTTCAGTGGTATAAAACTATAGACGTTTCGACTCTAGCTAGAATCATCTTCGGTATAATAAGACTTGAAGGAAGACATAGAAAAGTGGCAAGCAACGTAGGGAAGTTAACTACATGGATTTTGTTTAAATTACACGGACTGTCTTAACTGGAGCGTCAATATACTGATTTTTTTGTCATATGGATTCACGTCAATAGAAGTTGGAATGCTTCTAACACCAGGGGCGGATCCAGACATTCGCAACATTCGCACTGGCGAATGTCAGATTTCCACATGTCTTTTTGTAATTGTCTGTTAATACATTTTAGCATTGCAAATATTGTACTAGAAATGGCCAGATAATAATAAAAAGGTCCACAGAATACAAGAAATAAAAGTTTTGTTTCCTGCCCTAGTTGCTTATGCTAGTCACCTTGTTGTTTACTTTTTAGGTTTTATTCCCTCGTTTTCGTGATTTAGAGATGATATATTCGAAAGAGGGCTCCCCCTTTTACGCATAAATTCACAGAGCACCAATAAGGTTTGATGCGAATGTCGAATGAAATTATAATATATTAGGCATGCGTGCGCAAACGAAGTAGTACTGAAAAATGTATGCCAAAAATTTGTGCGAATGTCAGTCAAGCTATGTTATTTAGCCATCTGAAAACCAATAGGAAATGTATATGGGAAATTTTTTTTTGCGAATGTGGCGAAGGTAGATGCGAACTATGTTTGGTAGCCAGTTGAGGGAGAGAACCTTGGAAAGAGAGCAGATTGAAACCTCGCTTCCAGATCAACGGCCATGATTGTTGTTGGAAAGCTGTGGAGACATTTGCTTGCAGAAGAGCAGCAATTGTACTTCAGAGTGAGTGAAAGGAGTCAAATATAAGATGATTTTTAATTTGAATCAGCGGATTTCTTATGAAGATGTTCAAAGTTTGTCGAAGATTTTGGTTGATGGATGGAATTTGATAGATGGCAATATGCGAGGACAGTTCGTTGGACCTAAAATTGTTGAACCAAAATTTTGCCTATGTTTTCATTTTCACGATGGAGGACGTTATTTAGACAGAGATTCAGACTCAAATAATATTTTGAAGAATACGTGATGCTTTTTAAGGTAAATAGCCATTTTTATGCAGGCTGTCAATCAGAACTTTTAGGGTTCAAGTCAGGTACATCTTGATAATGATGATGTAGCATTCTGACGAATGATGCTGTTCTATAAATATCTTGATGAATTTGAATATGCTGAATTTTAGAGTTCTAGATATTTTTTTGAAAGATGTTGTTATTATCACAAATATGTAGATAGTTTGACTGTGCTGGGGATTTGTTTTTGAATAAGATATTGCATTTTCTACGGCGTATTCTTTTCTTGTTAATTTTATGCTGTCAGTTTTGTTGGAAAAATCTAGACTGCCATATTTGTAAATGAGAAATTGTAATAGTATTTTGATTTTATTTGTCTGGTCATGCCATAAATATGGTAACCCTTTTCACGAGTTTAACCTCTAAAACTAGTAAAATTATTTGTGGTTTCCACACTATAAGAGTATACCATTTGCAACTTTTGGTTCTGAAATACCCTTAAGATTCATTAATTTTTGTTTATGAATTTGTAAGTGACTGACAGTTTTCTTTTCTATGTTATTGTGTGTGTAAATAAATGTAAATGTGGGTAGTAAATATGCAATCAATGGAATGATCCTAATGGGGGAATTACTACATTATTAATAAGAAATTCACAGCAAGTTGGTTCTGCCAAGTAAATA